AAAATATATACTTATTGATTTTAGAGAGGGAGAGATAGAAATATTAATTATGAAAGCGAATAAATGATAGGCTGCCTCCTGCGCGCCCCACACTAGGGATCAAGGCTGCAACCCATGCATGTGCCGTGACCAGGAATCAAACCATGACCTCTTAGTTCATAGGTCGATGCTCAACCACTGATCCAAGCCGGCTGGGCTCATCTGTCTTTTTAATTCCTATGAGTCCTGTAAAAAAGAAAATTATAGCCTGAACAGAGTAGCAAAAGCCATCACAGAACCCTGGCTAGGTTCCTTTGGAAGTTACATTTGAAGACTCTCTATTCCAGTGATGGCGAAGCTTTTGAGGGCAGCGTGTCAGCATTTTGAAAAACCCTATCTTCACTTGGTGTCGTATCACATATAGAAATTTTTTGATATTTGCAACCATAGTTAAACAAGGATTTATATTTTTGATATTTATCTTATATATTTAAATGCCATTTAACAAAGAAAAATCAACCAAAAAAATGAGTTTGCGTGTCACCTGACATGCGTGTCATAGGTTCGCCATCACTGTCCTATTCAAAAGTTTTCAATTCCATGACAAATAAAGATTTATTGCAAACTAATGCAGAAAACTAGTTTAAAATGTTTACAGTACACACACACACAAAAACAAAAATTAAAAAAAGACAAAAAAAGAAAACAAACAAAAAAATGTTTACAGTACACTTGGTACTTTGTCACATGGGATTCCAATCTGTGAGGCTGTTTGCCATGTACCTTGATCAAATGCTTTACACACAGATGAGAACTTCTTACTGGGACAGTGGAGTGCATGGGGATTGCACAGGGATGCCACTCCCACGTGTGGAGCACTGCCATGGTGTTTATACGGAGGATCAGTGTCAACTACACCATTCATGAGCACTTCTCCCCACTCGAGCATATAATGTGCATTAAAGATAAAATGTCACTGCACTTGGTTCTTTTTTATGAACAGCATTAGTTGGGGTCTCACCACTTTGAAATTCTCAAGTTTGGAATCTGGTGAGTTCTTGTAAGTCATGCCCAAATCCAATACCTTTTCCCAATTCTCATGTTTGTGGCGTCTATAATACAGCATTGGCGGGCCCTCACATCTGAAGGTCTTCAACACTGATCATCCCTACATCTCCCTACTGTTAGAACGATCTGAGGAGCATGTGTACTACTCCTATTTGTGAAGGTGTATGCGTCAGTCTGTGATATTACCCAGGAGTATGACTGGGTCAAGTGCAGGAAGGGAAGGGATGAACTATGGCTTAAGGCTTCCTATGGCCCAGCTCCTGTAGGTGCCTCTACCCAGTATGAGTTCTCTGGTGCTTGGTCAGGGAGGAGCTGTGTGTGTAGGCCTTCCCACAGTCCCTGCACTCGTATGGCTTTTCTCCCGTGTGGATTCTCCGGTGCCGAGTGAGGTGAGTGCTCTGCCTGAAGGATTTCCCACAATCTGGGCATTCATATGGCTTCTCCCCGGTGTGTGTCCTCGCGTGCTGGCTGAGCGATGAGCTGTGACTGAAGGACTGCCCACATTCGTTGCACGTGTAGGGTTTTTCTTTGGTGTGGATCCTCTGGTGTTCTGTGAGGAGGGAGCTCTGACTGAAGGCTCTGCCACACTCATGACACTCATAGGGCTTCTCCCCCGTGTGGATCCTCTGATGCTGAATGAGTGGAGCGAGCTGGCTAAAGGCCCTGCCACACCCATCACACTCATAGGGCTTCTCCCCAGTGTGGATCCGCTGGTGCTGGGTTAGAGATGAGCTGTGGGTGAAGGCCCTGCCACAGTCACTGCACTCATAGGGCTTCTCCCCTGTGTGGATCCTCTGATGTTGACTGAGGTGTGTGCTCTGCCGGAAGGCCTTGCCACACTGACTGCACTCGTAGGGCTTCTCTCCCGTGTGTGTCCGCTCGTGCTGGCTGAGTGACGAGCTGTGGCTGAACGTTTTTCCACACTCGTTGCACCCGTAGGGCTTCTCCCCGCTGTGGATCCTCCGATGCTCGGTCAGGAGTGTGCTCTGGCTGAAGGCTTTTCCACACTCGCTACACTCATAGGGCTTCTCTCCCGTATGCGTCCTCTGATGCTGAACCAGTGGTGTCCTCTGGGTGAAGGCTTTCCCGCACTCGTGACACGCGTAGGGCTTCTCTCCAGTGTGGATTCTCTGGTGCTTCGTCAAGGACGAGCCGTGACTGAAGGCCTTGCCGCACTCAGGACACTCGTAAGGCTTCTCCCCGGTGTGGACCCGCAGGTGCTGGGCCAGGTGGATACTTTGCCTGAAGGCCTTCCCACACTCACTGCACTCGTAAGGCTTCTCGCCCGTGTGGGTCCGTGCGTGTTGGCTGAAGGAGGACCGAAAACTGAAGGACTTGCCACATTCGCTGCACTCGTAGGGCTTCTCGCCCGTGTGAGTTCTCTGGTGCTGGATCAGCGGGGGGGTTTGGTTAAAGGTCCTCCCACAATGCGTGCACCTATAGGGTCTCTCACCAGTGTGGATTCTCTGGTGCTTGGCGAGTGCCGAGCTGTTCCGGAAGCCTTTCCCGCATTCCCGACATCCGTAAGGTCTCTCTCCTGTGTGCGTCCGCTGGTGTTCAGTGAGTGCAGAGCTGCGGGCAAACGCCTTTCCACATTCCAGACACCTGTAGGCTTTCTCTTTGGCGTAGGTTTTCTGTTGTGCGTTCGGTTTTGAGCATGGATTCTCCTTTTTTCTGTGCATTCTCCATGCATGAGAGTCTCGTCTTTCAGGAGTCACGGGTTGACTTGGGAGATCAGGGCTCAGAGTTAAGTTTTCCCCAAACCCATTCCCGGGCTGCTGCCGCTGAACAGATGTCCTCACAGGTGAGCAGGCCGCCTGCACCCCACGGCCATCCAGGCTCTGAAGGCTGTGTTCCCGGTGCCCCTCAGCGTCTTCACCCTGAGCGCTCCCCAGACCGTCCCCTGGGAACCCTTCTGCCAGGACAAGGCGGGATAGTTCCTCAGAGGCGTCTTGCTTTGCAGCTGACAGTTCGGTTTTCAATTTCGTTTCCAAGTCTGAAAAAAATAAAATAAAAAGGAATTGTTCCTCAATCGCTGTTCTGGGAGGAAAAGTTTATTGGTGAATATGTGAATGGAAGAATTAAACTGACATTTTCTAAAAGTTCAAGGCACGAGCGGCTTTGACCAGTTAGCCATATGGTTTTGCAAAGCAGAGAAGAAAGAGAATGTTCGGAGAACAGAAAGCTGAGTGAGTATAATGGGTATGGATGGAGTTTGCACAGAGAATTTTGGAGGAAGTCGGAGCTGAAAAAAAGAGTGAGCCTTCAGGGAAAATGCAGCAGACCCCCAGGCTTGGAAGGATCGGAATAACAGTCAGGCACAGGCTCACAGCCTGTACTGCAGCAGATGGTGGGAGAGTAAGGGTGGGAAAGGTGCGGCCTGTAGGCTGTGAAAGGCCCGATAAATCATTCGGTCTGGCCCTGCCAAGGCACTAGGGGGCAGTTAATTAACTGGCCAAATAAAGCAGCTAAATTTTAAGTTGGTAATTTTATATGCCCTGCGAATGATGTTATAAATATCCAAATGGGCCTTGACAGGAAAAAGGTTCTCCAACCCTCAGCCCTCCCGTTTCTCAGAGCCCGTCTCCTCCTGGAGGTCCCGCCCTGTTGTGCCGCTCACTCCAGATGTGAAGAAACCCATGAGATCCCCACAGTGGGAACCCCTGACATGTCCGTCAACAAGAGGATTGACAAATGGCTGTGGTGCATTACAGCCCTTTGAGCTGGTTCAGTCTGTCTGTTTCCCTAAGGGAGAAGACCCCCAACAACAACAGGGGTCCACACACATGCTGAACGAAAAATACAAGCGGAGTCTCCCCCTCCTTCCTGGCAGGATGGCAGGCACCCAGCCTCCACACGACACGGAGCTGGTGAGAAGGTGTGACATGGCACCTTTCCCATGTGTGCTGCTCTACTGAAAAGTCAGGGGGACATTCTAGTCGAGTGCAGCTGGCAGAACAGTGTCTCCCAAGATGCCCGCGTCCTCAGCCCTGCAGCCTGTGAGTGTGGTGTCACCTGTATGTGGACAAGGAATGAAGGATGCTCATCTTTGACGTTAGCCCGTCACCCGACATCACCCTGGATTGTTGGGGTGGCCCCGTGTAACCACAGGTTCTTAAATGTGCAAGAGAGGCAGGAGGTCAGGGCCAGGGGGACGTGATGCGTGAAGACCGGACCCGCCTCTGCTGACACTGAGATGGACAAGGCCACGTGCCCAGGAATGTGCGCCTCTAGATGCTGGACATGAGAGGCCATGGAGCCTCCCGACCCTCGGGAAGGAACGCTGGCTGCTGACCCCTCGCACGTCGCCCGGTCAGACCCCTCTGGACTCGTGACCTCTAGAACTGCAAGGTCATTTGTGTTGCTTCACATACTACATTTGTGGTCATTTGTTACAGCGGCAAGAGGAGGCTAACATATGAGGTGAAGGCTGGTTATTATTTGAGGCAGGGAAGACCCTGCTGTGACCCCCTCCCACACATTCCATCCTTCCTGGGCGTTGGTGATGGTCACTGCTTACATGGCGTCATGGCCGGACGCCAGTGGGAAGTTGGTTGTTGATGGGCCAGGGCAACCCCACTTCCTACAGAGGTGCCTGCCTGTCTCGGGAGCCGGACAGCAGGTCTGAAGGGAACCACCCAGCCAACCTCTAGGCATCTGGACGAGTCTGGCCTAGAGCCACAGGTGCCTGAGTCGTAAATGAGTCTCTGGTTTAACGCCCGAGGCTGGAGTGTCTGATCCGCAGTAAGAGACCTGCACCAGCCAGTGCCTCTGCACTTGCCGTTCCCTCCGCCTGGAATTCTGTGCTCATGGTCCAGCTCCCCCTCCCTCATCACCTCCTTCGAGAGGGAAGCCCTCATCTCTCTGCTCACGTCCTCTCCCCGATTCTGTCCACCCATCACCCGCTGCCACATCTGCGATCTTCCCTTTCGCTGTTATTATTGTTTTCTAGCGATTTATCCTGTGCCCCTCTCCCTCAGCAATATGTATGTTCGGTGAAGACAGGAGCTAGGTCTCCCCATAGCAGAACGGTGCCTGGTGACTGTTCACTGAGAGAATGAGGAGTCAGTTTGCTCTGAAGGATCTGGGAGCAGATACGAAGAGAGAGGTGTGGGGTGTGGGGAGCGGGGCTCCTCCCTGCCCTGCACATCCTCACCTCACCTGGGCACACACCTTGCGGAACCTCCCGGTCCCCCAGCCACCGCCCGGCCTCCTGCTCCAGCAGCGTGACGAGGGTGGGTCTCAGGAGCCACGGCCCTGCTCAGGGGGAGACCCAGGACGTGAGCATTCGTGTCCCGGGGCCTTTCCCGACCCCCTGCCCACTCCGCCTTCACCCTGTCAGGCCCCAGTGACTTAGGTAATAACAGCCTCTAGTTGCCTCCACTCACTCTCAGCCCTAAGCCCCCCTCTGGCTCTGGGGTGGACACGTGACCCAGATCTGGGCACCCAGTGAGGATTCTTCTGCTGTCCACTGGCAACAATGACCGATAGGGAGGGGACCTGGCGGCCGAAACAAGACAACCCACAGGCCTTCCCTGGGCCCCTTGGACTCTGGCAACTGTCTTGTCACCGTCAGATGCCCACGTGTGAAAGGTGACTCAGAGACGTGCAGGGGGGGAGGGGGCAACACGGGAAGACTGCACCTGGGGTTCTGCAGCTCTGGACCCTGTGTGCCCCTCTTATCCCGAGATTCCTGCCTCTGGCATCCTCAGGTGGGATCCGTCACTTGTAGGCAAAACAGCCTCACGGACACCCTGTAAACCCAGGCAGTCTGGTCCCTCAGGCCCAAGGCACATGGGTTTTCTGCTCTTCACGCCTAGACCCACCCCGACTGTGAACCCAGGAGAAGTGGGGTCCACCCAGGGGCGGACGGTGAGGAACGGGGGGTGGCCTTACCCACAGCGACCAGGAGCCCCCAGGTCTCCAGCATCACCTCGCGGTGCAGGGCCCTCTGGGCGGGCGTCAGCCGCCCCCACTCCTCCCGCGTGAAGTCCACGGCCACGTCCTCGAAGGCCACCGGCTCCTGGAACGTCACACGGGAGCTTCCTCACCGGGGAAGCCGGACAAGGCCGAGCCGGGTGGTGAGGGGAGGGGGTCCCTCCGGTCGGAGGCCCGAGCGTGAGGGCCGTGGGGCACTCACCCGGAACCCCGCGTCCAGGAGCCCAGCGTCCATTCCTTCCACCTCTGGCCTCTCGCAGGAACCGCTGGCCGCTCTGCAGGCCGTTCTGGGGGGAGAGGACGCGAGGCACTGAGCAGGTGTCCGGGGTGACCAGGAACCAAGGACCAGAACCCCTGCCTCGAGGTGGAAGGAGCTACGGTGCCAGAGCCTGGGGCCCGGGACCCAGGCCAAACCCAACAGCTGGGAACCTCAGCTTGGCATTTCCTGGGCCCCTGCGGGGAGCAGAGCTGTGCCGGGCACGGCTGATGAACGACGGCAAATTCACGCCCGCCCATTCCACAGACGGGGAAACTGAGCGCCGGTGTGGGCAAGGGGCTCGGCCCTGGTTACACAGATGACCTCCAGGGGGACGACTGTTTCTGCTCTGGGTTCCCTGGGCACGGCTGGGGGTGCCTCAGTTTCCCTCTCCCCTGCAGTGAGGGTGGTGACGGGACATGGAGGTCACCAGAATTACAGTGCGACAGCGTCTGAACCCGGAGGGAGGGCAGTACACACATGACAGTGACTATTACCATCTAAGACACACCTGGTCCGTGTTCCTGTGGCTGACAGGCTGGACCCCGTCTGATTGGCCAGAATGAAGTCAGGCCCGAGGTCCGATGCGCTTCCCTCGTGTTCCTACCTGCCCTTGGCGGGCCTGACTGTGCGTCCGGGTTCTGCCTCGTCGTGTTTGTCCTGTGTTGTCCTCACTGAGTGTTCAGGATGGGAGCTGGTTGGCTGTGATGCGTGCATGGCTTTTTATTTTTTTTTAAATATATTTTATTGATTTTTTACAGAGAGGAAGGGAGAGAGATAGAGAGTTAGCAACATCGATGAGAGGGAAACATCGACCAGCTGCCTCTTGCACACTCCCCACTGGGGATGTGCCCGCAACCGAGGTACATGCCCTTGACCGAAATCGAACCCGGGACCCTTCAGTCCGAAGGCCGACGCTCCATCCACTGAGCCAAACCGGTTTCGGCAATGCACGGCTTTTTAAAATCATCTCCCTGACAACCCCCATTCCATCCCCTGCCGGGGGCAGAGACTACGTTGGGTCTATGCAGACGCTCTCGGGCATAAGTTGGGGCTTGGCATCTGGGACATCTAGGTACGTGGTTGAACGCCCGGCTGGCGTGGCTCCGTGGCTGAGCATCGACCCAGGAACCTGAGCCCCAGTCGCGGGCTCCGTCCCCCGTGTGGGGCGTGCGGGAGGCAGCCATGAGTTATTCTCATCGTTGATGTTTTTATCCCTCTCTCTCTCCCTTCCTCTCTGAAATCTATATCTATATCTGAAATCTAAATCAATATCTAAAAAATATATAGATATTAAAGCCCTACTGGTGTGGCTCAGTGGTTGAGCATTGACCTATGAACCAGGAGGTCACGGTTCCACTGGGTCAGGGCACATGCCTGGTTACGGGCTCCATCCCCCGTGTGGGGCGTGCGGGAGGCAGCCATCAGTTATTCTCATCATTGATTTTTTTCTCTTCTTTTTTTTTTCTTTTTTATCTTTTTTTAATTTTTCGTTTATTTTCATCATTGATATATATATATACATATATATTTTAAATATGTTTTATTGATTTTTTACAGAGAGGAAAAGAGAAGGACAGAGAATCAGAAACATCAATGAAGGAGAAACATGGATCAGCTGCCTCCTGCACACCCCCCACTGGGGATGTGCCCGGAACCCAGGTACATGCCCTTGACCGGAATCGAACCCGGGACCCTTCAGTCCGCAGGCCGACGCTCTATCCACTGAGCCACACCGGTCAGGGCCATCATTGATATTTTTATCTCTCTCTCTCTTCCTCTCTGAAATCAATAAGAATATATTTAAAATCTTATATATATAAAAAAATATATATTTTAAACATTAAAGAGAACTACCTGGTTGATTAATGAGTAAAGGAGCCTGGATGGTGCCTGGCATAGTCAGGACTCCTCTCTTTCCTGGGTCCCAGTGTCCGGGATTAAAATCTGGTGTTTCAGCCCTGACCGGTGCGGCTCAGTGGGTAGAGCGTCGGCCTGCGGACTGGAGGGTCCCGGGTTCGATTCCGGTCTAGGGGATGTACCTTGGTTGCGGGCACATCCCCAGTAGGGGGCGGGCAGGAGGCAGCTGGTCGATGTTTCTCTCTCATCGATGTTTCTAACTCTCTCTCCCTCTCCCTTCCTCTCTGTAAAAATCAATAAAATATATTTAACATAAATAAATAAATAAATAATAAAATGAAATCTGGTGTATTTAGGTCTCCCTCCCCTTCGCCAAAATCCAGGGGAGGGGGGGAGAGGATGTCCATGGGAGGATAGTTCAGACTCTGAGAAAACGCCATATTGATATAAAAT